CCACCCGCATTTGACCCCAGATGGTACCATTGTCTTCACGTGTCCATTATTGTCCTGTTTCGAATAAAACATCGATCATCATTTTCAGGGGGTAAATTTTGAGGGTTAGTGAATGTGTTACTTCCCTGGCATCAAGTCTGGATATCTTCACGACATAATGTCAAAACTTACCACATATAAACTTATTGGTACAGTTTCCCTCGATGCACGTGGCGGGCGCACGTACACAACGCGTGCCGGTAGGACAGATTTGAGCCTGCAAGATAAAAAAATCTCTCTTGTGTTGCATATGAAGACCGTACCTGGTTTCCCCCGCCGTGCTACTGCTGGGATATTTCTAAAAGCGGCGTAAAACTCAACTCACTCACATTGATGCATTGCCATCTGTCTACACTGTCTGCACTGTTGGTTTGCGTATCATGCTTCAACGCAGTCAACAAAAGATGTGATACAAATCGATATTACTGCATATGAAAGAGAAGCAGTTCCCTACAATGCACGTCACTGGCGCACGTGAAACCCGAGTGCCATTTTTTAATCTACAAATTAAGATTTAAGATCTAAGAAATCCACAACGTATCTCTTTCTTTATTATGATAATATTTCTAAACTGCTTAACGTACAATATATTATGGATATAGGAGTTCTTACCGACGTAATAAAACTTCACGAGACATGTCTACAACTTGAAAATTAAAACTAAAATAATCTGTTCTGCACATATTAGTTTCCGATAACAGATTTACAAAAAAATCACAGGAAACATAATTTAGTGTTGTCTAAACACAACCAGAGTTTTGAACCTCGTCAATCTTCTTTAATGAATGAAGTTAATCCGAATTCCTGCAAAGAGCGTTGTGATTTCTTTAAAATGAGTGAATGAGTGTAGTTTTACGCTGCATTCAGCAATATTCGAGCGCCGTGGCGGCGGAATTCTTCAGAAATCACGTCATACTGTTTATTACGGTAGAGGTCACCATGAAACCAAGTCAGTATTAATCTTTCCTATGTATTTCCTATCATTTGTGTGGGATCTTTCAGATTCAGGTGCAGAGAGAACACGGGTAAACATTCTCTATCTAAGGGGGCGGGAGTAGCCAAGCTGTTAATTAAAGCGTTCGCTCGTCACGCCGAAAACCCGGGGTCAATTCTTCACATAGGTACAATGTGCGGCCTCCCCCGCCTTGATATTGCTGGAATATTGCTTAAAGGTAAAAACGGCGTTAATCGTAACACACTCAATCACTCACTTTCCATCAGCTGACAAAGATTTCGTGGATAGTCATAATAATTAAAATATAATCAAAACAAGTTTCTGCTAGAAGTACAAGCACCTGGATAATAATTGTGTTGCCGGTAATAGCGCGTGTGTCGGTCAATGACACGACAAAGAAATGGGGTTAACCTCTCGAGAGATGTAATTTGAGAGAACCGTATCAGATTCTATTCACGTTTTATTGCTATTTGATAATACATACTGGAAAACCAATACACTCTGTCACTGAACTAATCATTGACTCCCACAAAGGAAAACGCCACGTTACTATATTTGAATTAAAATCTGGCTAAGATCATGTTTTCATTCCAAGCGAAGATCAGATAACAATAAGGACACATATTTGAACTTTATTAATCAACGGTCAGCTTATGTTTTATTGGTTTCTTATCTACTCTAAATTCTAAATATCAACGTCATGTAAAAATGATTGCAAAAGTTGGTATATTAAAGATAAAACAATACTTACACAATCTCTGTCACCTTTAATCATCATGGCCAGATGACACTGGAAATGAGACGTCAAAATAGACAGGAAATACAAAAATCCACTAAAATATTCTTTCAGAAAATTAGAAATGTTTTAAATGTCTCAATGATATAATATGACAATAATAATACTAATGTCACTTGCAGAGCGCAAATGTCCACACCCTTATGAATGCTCAGTGCACTGAATAGAGTAAAAAGACTCAGTCATAAGAACAGTGAAAATAGGTGGGTTTTAACTTTTGACTTATAGGTTGAGAGAGATTCACAGAGTTTGATTTCTAGAGGTAAAGAGTTCCAGAGAGTTGGTGCAACATAGGAGAAAGCCCTTTTCCCATACGAAACTGGGTGGAATTTGGGAACTTGTTGTAGATGCTGATTCTGGGATCGGAGAGGTCTTGTGATGAGTTCAGTGAGATATTCTGGTGCTTGATTGTGGGACAGTGATGCAGAGAAGTTTAAAGGTGATTCTCTGTTGAATAGGTAGCCAATGTAAAGATTTGAGAACAGGAAAGATGTGGTGAGATTTAGTCTTTAGAGAAATAATTCTTGCAGCTGTATTCTGTACTTTCTGTAGTCTGGAGATATTGTGTTTGCTAAGACCGATCAACAGTCAATTGAGGTAGTCTAGTGCAGATAGCACTAGGCATCTGACTAGGATGTGGGCACGTTCTGCTGTGATGTACTTCCTGATGTTGCCTATGATCGGAGATGAGAGCAACATGACTTGCATGTTCTGTTGTCTAGCCCCTGCAGGGATAGGTCTGCTTCAATCCAAACTCCGAAGTCTTTCCCAAGTCTGGATGTTGGCACTTGATCTGAGCCAATGGTGACTTCCTTCCTGAGATCAGTAAGGTGATCTTCAACATATTGAAGATGAACTATATGTATTGTTTTACTGTGTGTTATATGACGACATAAGGGTGTTACTTTTAAGTGATTGTATTAATATTTTCGGTCCAGATGTTTTAGGTAAACCTGATATCGACAAATTATGCTTTATATTCAACAATCGTAATCTTTGTTATGTTTAGCAAAAATCTACTTTTTAATCCTCAACAGGAGGTAAATCTTTTTTATGCTTAATAATGTTCTGATATTTTGTTAGGTTTATAATTTTTGTCTCTCATAATTCTCTTTTGAATGGTTCTGTACATTTTACTCTTTTAGAAGCGAGTCTGAGAACCAGGTCAAGTTAGTCGCCTCTTGTGACAAGCATGGGTTGCGGAAGACCAATTCTAACCCGGATGTTCACGGGTCCCGAGATTAGTTCAGTTGGTTTCACTCGGCATCCCTTTTCATCATTTTATTCTTCATCATCATTTCCTAGAATTAAGCCAAGCATCCTGGACCGACGGGAGACCGAGGCAGCACCGATTGTTCTCCAGGTCCGGCGCTTGACATGAGAGACAATCAAAGATGGCCAGGTAATCGGACTTAATGGCTGTTCCGCGTCCTTGTAGCCAGGCGTGTCCACGCTTTCATGCTCTGGTAACAGAATCGGTTTATGTGGAAGCAATAATGTTGACTTCCGCATATTTATTCGCTGACCCTGAACTCACCTTCGATTTGATTATTGTGTATGTTTGTATGTTCAACGCTGCACTCAACAGTATTCCAACTATATGACCTTGGTCTGAATGTAATGGAATCTGGGAGTCTTGCCCGATAGGGTTCCCTCGTTCTTTGACCAATATTTCAGTTGAGTAGCGTTTATCAAATGTTACAACTCACTGTACGCTTATTTACATCTGATCACAATACGACGTGTTTCACTGTTACCCATAAATACCAAGGAGGAAATTAATAATTACATTAATTGGTATCTGAAGGGAGACAGCGTCTTTTGATGGTGCCAGGAATCAATATGTCTTAAAACAGACATAATATTCTCAATAGGATCGTTATTGGTTACATGTATAAAGATCAAAGACTGCATTTATTGGTTTGAAAATACCTGGTGATTCACTAGCGCTGCCATATGTCATAGTGAAAATGTGTAATAGTTTAGAAATGTAATACATATTATTCTAACGATATGAAATTTGTTTGTCTGTAGAACTATTTACTGAATGAATTTCATTAAGTAGTCAGAATTAGAAAACACAACATGCAACCTGAAGAATCATGAATTACACAAAGAGAAGCAACAGACGCTGTTCATATTAAGATGGCAATTCATTGTACAATTCGGACTATATCATTAGCATATGTTTCTGAGACTTTTCAACATAGTACGCCACTCCCAAATATATAGATTCTTACTTTGTAGGAATATACTACATTTTTAGTCTTAATTTAGATATTTGATTTTAACTTCTTCCAATTTGTATTAAAGATGAAATCAGTTGTTTTAGGACACAATTCCGATACTGATGGAATATTTAAAAAAGACCAAATATTCATCGCACAATGGCAAATCGTCAGTTTTGAATTTGTTTGTCGGAATATGAACTCTCTATATCGCACAAAATATAGCAGCATTTACATTTATAACAACATCTGACAAATGTTACATAACTTCAATTTTAAGAAATCCTGAAAGATACAGCTACTCCCAATCCCTTGTCGAAGCTAATTATTATTCGTATCCAAGACATTATCCCATTATCAACCCGAATACTGCAGGAAGACAGCTACTTCGGTATTCAACATTACGTTTATAACGAACTTCGGCTATAACGAGATTTTGTTTCTCGAGCACTTGTTGCATGTTTTAGTTGTAATGCGTATAACGAACTTCGGTTATTACGAAGTAAAATTAGTCGTCGCTTTGAGTTCGTTATAACCGTAGTCCATTGTATGGTATAATTAGCTATGGTTTGTAAAGATTGCGCTCGCAAAACATCTTCTACCCAAACACAGGCCCTGTCCAACCAAAACGTGTTACAGAGCTAAATTAAATATGATGAAGGGTTCTTCTTCAGTAACCAACAGTATGGAAAGCCAAATTTCGATTTAAAATGAACCCGACATTCATTGCGCTAAGAATGGCATACAATGACTTGAAACTAATCGGATTCCATTGAGACATAGGTCGTACCCGGGGCGAAGTCGGGAAATAACAGTTCAGAATATATAGTAACAATACATATATAGTATAAGGCGGGTTTCAGTGGAACGGTAATGTGAGTTAAGAGAACATAAACTGGATATGAATTTAGTCAGGTCTTACCACGAGTCCAAGAGCGAAGTTGTACCACGTGACCATCTTGCAGTAGACTGGACAAATTCCTCTGCCTTCTTCACTGCTGGTGAATGAATACCGTGGACATCCGCCATCTTATATACCCATGTATGGACGGGCGAGCGTGCGGAGGCGGGGTTTTATTTAGGTTGCTTTGCCTTTCTTATTTCATTTGCTTCCAATAATGTCATATATATTTTCGAGACTTCGTTCAAGTATCCGTTACGACACAGTTTATTCATCTTTGGAACTTTTCACGAATTGTTTTAAAGAATGGCTTTCACTCAATAAGGCGGCACTGTCTTACTGTCAATACAATAATGCTAGTTTATAAACGAATAACAATGAGAATTAGATTCTAAATTATTATTTTTGGCGCTGGGTACAGTGTTAGGGATAATATTGATACTGGATTCTCCCGACATACTGATCCAGATGTTGTTTTGGCCCCAGTCGGTAAGTAGATCCGGGCGACTCAAGTCGACTACAGCATGATGAACAATGTGGCGATTAAGATGAAAGTTTCGATATTGATTGAATATTTTAAAACGACCAACTAGTCATAGTGGATTGGAACAACGAGGAGGAGGGTCAGGGATGTTATTGCAGTTGGCGGAGGCTACACCAGATATAGGTATTGTGTTCAAATATTGATACTAATGTGTTATCTTGAGGATAGTAAGCGAGAATCTTAAAACTTACCGCACTGGTTAACGTCGTACAACCACAGTCATCAGCACTACAAAACTTCGCATTTTGTTTGCTATGTTTGTTTCTATGAATGAACGACAGTTTTTCGTTATTTTGCTTTTAGATTTGCCATTCAATGTTTTCCTTGAGGGTTAATTTATCCTAATAATAAGTTAAATTGAGGTTTGGATAAGTAACTTTACAATGGCTTATGGTAAAATATTGATACTAAGACAAATATGAGGCGTTGCGACACTGATTTCCGTGTGAACATTTAAACATGTAGCCTCAGGGGCGGTGGGGTAGCCTAATGGTTAAAGCGTTGGCTCGTCACGCCGAAGATCCACATGGGTACAATGTGTGAAGCCCATTTCTGGTGTCCCCCGCCGTGATGTTGCTGGAATATTGCTAAAAGCGGCGTAAAACCAAACTCAGGCAGTCAGTCAGTGTAGCCTCAATATTATTGAAAAGTAGTTTGAAAACTTCCCAAAAAGCTGCGTGGTAGCCAGCACATGATCAAAATACGACACCCGGTGCTATAAAACCGGGCAACAAAGACCGAATGTAGGTTATTAGCATTATCAGTTGTGGAAGAGACGTGATCAAAAAAAAGATACAGCTTCTGTGTTTCCAAATTTGATGTACACCCACTGTCTACTAGATATGAATTCTTCTTAGAAAGGTATTTGGTTATGTTGCGGGTCACTTATGGTAGCGCCATTTTGATTTGTCGAAAACTTGGAGTATAAAATGAAAAGAGTCACTTCATCTGCACGTTTTCAGTCATATTGTACTAGTCAACCTGATGAAGGAGTGGGAATATACTCCGAAACGTCGTGTTCATCACAATAAAGAAGTTGACATCCATAAAATTCTTGCCGTTAGGCCATATGTTCTTTAATGTCAGTTAGACATTCCTCGTAATATGTGAAACTGTATGTGGAGTCAGTACTTGAGCGCGCTCTATTACGTACTACTTTCGCGCGGCATCGTGTGCTATTCAGGCAGTGAGGTATTAAGGCCAAGCTTTCAACTCGCAGCGAAAACTTAGATTACAGTAACTGTGAAAATCTCGCCGCCTGAACAGACAGAAATGGAAACGAAACGAAATAAATCATATAAATTCCTTAACATTATTTTAATTCTTGTTGGTTGTATTCCGATGATCTATGTTGTAGAATAATTCACGTTTGTTAAATTGTTTCATAAAGTGGCAGTTGACAAAGAAACTACTTTCCAATTACTTTTATCAATACGTTTCGGTTGGATGCAGCTTGTTAGAGACCACGTCGAAAACTTGCATGTAATAAATCAGGAGTGGGTTATTCATAAAATTGAACTTCTTTCTGTTTGGTGGTGTTTAATGTACCATCAATCCAATTCTTGCATATTAACATTCAAACTCTGCTTTTGAATCAGTGTATTGTTTCTGCTGTTCACATGTTTACTTTTAGCTTTGATTCTTTCATCACGTATACACTGGTATATCTCCCCAGCATGTGCTTTAACTGTATATAAGAACGTGCTTTAACTGTATATAAGAACGGGCCTACACGCTACTTGGGATCTATTGTAGTTACAGATATACATGTGGACCGCATCCGTGGTGTAGTGGTTAGAGCGTCCACCTGGAGAGCGGAAGGTCGTGGGTTCGATCCCCGACTGCGTCATACCAAAAGACGTTAAAATATGGTACTTGTTGGTCACTGCCTGGCGCTCGGCATTAATGGGTACAACAAGGACTGGTCGGCTCGGAGTCAGTATACTGTGTCTGAGTGGGGTATTCATGCTTCACTGCGGCATGGTATCTCAGTGGGCTAGCACTATAAAACCAGCTTCAATCTGGGCTAGTACAAGCAGCCGCACATACACATACACACGCATGCACGTAGTCATATGAGCGAAATATTCTCAAGCACGACGTAAAACCCAATTTCACCTCACCTCACAGATATACATGTGATATATTGAAATCTTTATTATAACAAAAGTAATAAGACTTCTCATGCATGACCCTACAAGAGGATTTACGCAACATAAATAATTCAATGAATAAATAAAGACATGAATACACCCCTCCCCTCTTCTCTCCATCTTTTCCCACCCCCTCCCCATCTCATTTCTTATTCAAGTGATTCTTGCTTCTAGTGATAATAGTAGTTGTTGTAGTGGTAATACGAGTCGTCGCCGTAGTTGTAGTAGCAGGATTGGCGGACGTAGATAGAGTGATAATATCCATAGTTGTTGTTGTTTTGATAGTCGTAGAAGCTATGCACAGCAATTAAAGCTACGTGAGGGGTGGTGGTGTGGCCTAGTGGTTAAAGCGTTCGCTCGTCACGCCGAAGAACCGGTTCGATTCCCCACATGGGTACAATGTGTGAAGCTTTTTTCTGAAGTCCCCGTCTTGAGATTGTTGGAATATTGCTAAAAGCAGCGTAAAACCAAATTCACTCACTCACTTTCATCATGAAACTATTTTGAAAAAATACTTATCACGTCTACCTTCACATCAATGCGTCCAAATTAAGAAACATTTCCACTTATTAAGATATCATTTCCATTGCTATTGCCCTCTCAATCACCTAAATCAATACTAGTTTCAAATATTCTGATGACACTAATGAAGATTAGATTTGTATTTATTCGTTACCTTCCACGTTATATTATACAGGGGCGGTGGGGTAGCCTAGTGGTTAAAGCGTTGGCCCGTCACGCCGAACACCCGGGTTCGATTCCCCAAATGGGTACAATGTGTGAAGCCCATTCTGGTGTCCCCGCTGTGATGCTGCTGGAATATTGCTAAAAGCGGCGTAAAACCAAACTCACTCACTCACTCTGATGCTACAACCTTTCTGTGTTTCCCTTGATAGAAATTCACTGCATGAAATATTCATATAGTGGTCTTATTCTAAATAACAACTGTTAAAGGCACGATTTCAAACATTTTGGGCAATATTTTGGTCTATAATATATAAATTAGGACATATGCACTCACTTTAGCTTCCTATGGATGCAATAAAAGACTTATTATCCCTTACGACTCGCCTGAAATCGATAACTCAAACTTCGAGGCGAACAGCTTTCAAACAGAGAACACTTGCCATATATGGAATGTAAACAATTCCTCCGTACATCGAAAACTGTCGCACGCGGTGTTGTCGGTGTTTGCCGAACTGGTTTCAAACACAAGCTGTGCGTAGGATATTCGTAAAGAGCGCTCCAAGGGACATAACTCTATGAAGTTCGCTTGGAATAAATAATGACAGAGTTAAGTCGCACATGGTCCTCATCTTAAGGCGTTTCTCAGAAGACTAGAATTCAAACCGGATGTAATATGCACTCAAGAAACATTCCTCTGGCCTGAGTATCAGTTTAAAATTAATGGTTTTAAAATTAATGGAATGCCAAAAGGTCGCGTTGAGTTTGACCCAACGACCAAAAATCCAAGACCGGTGGTTGTGCTATTTTTGTCAAATCGGATTTAACATATAGAAGTCATGCCTTACCGAAACTTAATTTTGTGGCAAATGCGGTCGACATTGTCTCAGAGGAGAAACAATTCCTCGCCATTGTTAAAATATACAGTAATGGTATGCCATCTTTATAAAACGCTGAAAGATTTTGTAGATACATCAGTTTTGATATGTTGTGGTTTTAATAGTCAAAATGCACTGTGAGGAAGCAGGCATACAAATCATGCTGGTCAAGTTGAAGGAAATCTTTTGGATGACACAGGTTAAATATTGCTAAACTCTGGCCAAATGACCCGTATATAATACTGATAACTTTACTTTCTCAGGATTAGATCTTACCCTTGTTTAACACAAATATCAATGGGGCGTTTATCAATACGACAGTTTGGGAAGTGAACACTTTCCAGTGTTCGCGGAAATATCGTTTAAACCTCTACGAACACCTGCACATTGAATTCCTAGATGGAGATCTAAACCTGCAAACTGGCAGAAATTTGTGAAATAACGTGTGATCTATGCGCCTCAAAGGCCCAGGGTATACGTTCGAGGGTAAAAGAAACTGTGCGTAACAAAACCAAAAACATTTTTACAATGAACACAATACTTATAACATATGTTATATTTGGGATTACACTTTCTTAGTAAAGTACAGATTCTTGTACTATTGTTGGGTTGGGTCCCATCCGAACCCACGCCCCCAGAGTCAGGCATCTAATCGCCAGCACACAAAGTCAGCCGCCAAACCCGCTCAGCCTATGCGACTTCCACTTGGCGATAATTTAATGTATGGCTGCATAGAAAGAGCTGGGTTAGACTTCCTCTTTAAAACGGGGAAGTATGACATAATTAATAACATGAATATAATCATGGCGGGGGACACCAGAAATGGGCTTCGCACATTGTACCCATGTGGATCTTCTGACGTGACGAGCAATATTCAACGCTTCGGCGTGACGAGCCAACGCTTTAGCCATTAGGCTACCCCACCGCCCCAATTTAATATTCTAATCCGAGATGCGAACCCACACCCTCAGAGTCAGGCACCTAATCGCCAGCACACAAAGTCAGCCGCCAAACCTACTCAGCCACCGCGACTTCCACAAAAATGGAAGTCGGACATCTGGTAGCCTGGACTGCGGACTTTGTGTACCCCTCTGATAAGTGTAAATTGGCACGGTTCCCACGGCACAAAGCAATGATTACACAATGCCATTTAGAAAGTGGTCAAATGGAACTCAACCCAACAATAGTACTAGAATCTATACTTTACTAAGAAAGTGTAATCCCAAATATAACTTATGTTAGATGCTCATGTGGTTGACTCGATTATTTACAGACCGCCGCCATATAGCTGGAATATTGCTGAATGCGGCGTAAAATAACAACCAACCAACCAACCAACCAATGTATTTCATAAACGAATTAAACCTGTTTGATATACAACTACAATGATGATGATATTTTTGAAAACACATTCTAACGTAATTATCCTCGGATGTTCGTGATTTATTTCGCAATGTATCTCTCTAAATAATGTTTTGAAGTTTAAAAGAGAGTTATAGTATGACCAGAAATTATTGAGAATTTTAGGAATATGTTTAATTGGATTTCTAGTATAAACATCCTTGACCAGCTATCAAGTGCTTGGTTTCATTCAAGAGAGACAACTCCGTTAATCCTTTTTCATTAGTTTGTGAAGAGTTATCCCCCTTTGTTTACTTGCTAGAAGACGACATTTTCAGTGATCCTCAGTATGGATGATTTAGAGAAGAGGAAGTTGATTTTAGAGTATCATAACCAGGACATCAGATCAGCTAATGTGATTTCAAGTAGAACAGGCATCCCTTTGTCCACTGTTTATCGTGTTTTCAAAAATATTGCTAATGGATATGGCATTGAGCACCAGGGAGGCGCAGGTAGGCCCAGAAAATTGACTGTCGGTGACAGGAGGCGGCTTGGTATTCTTGTTTCTAAAAACAAACGAAGGAGTTTAGAAAACTTAAGGCTGGATATGAGTGACAGAGGAACTGTGGCTGTCTGTTAATGACAATTAGAACTGAGCTGCATGCAATGGGTTGGCAGAAAAGTCGAGGAATTCCAAAACTAATCTGACTGTTCTGAGAGTGAGCAATCACGTGTGGAATCAAGTCAAACCTCAAACCAGATCCATAGATTTCCAAGCTACAAAATGTTCAAAACCTCTTGGCTAAGGCTTTTTGTCCTATTCTGGAGCTGACTGATGAAGAAATGAATACTTCTTTAGACAAGAAGCAACAGATCAATTTGAAAACTTTGGCGAAGAAGTCTTGGGATTCACCTGCGCCTTTTGTCAGCTGTGTTTGTGGAACTAACAAATCACAGGAAGGACACATTTAAGCCTGACCTCAAAGCGGTGAGGTGAGGTGAAATTG